ATGTCTGCTGAACTTGCCCTGAAAATCGCTAAATTATTTACGGTATACAGTAGAATATCTGCTGTTACGGTCTCGCGCTTTCTAATTTTTCTGCTTGGGGGACTAGCAAAAGTAAAGGGTTGAGGTTATCGCCGTAGGCCACCTCTGTCACCCCTGGTAGTTCCGCCACTCCATCTTGTATCGTAATGGGATATAAGCCAGATGAGCTTATACGGAACCTCTGCCTTGGCGAGTTTGAACAAAAGCCAATTCTTCGGTTCTGTGTCGAACGTCGCTCTGGAATCGGCGAATACGGTATAGATAAACAGTTTGGCGCTCCTTGCGCTTACGATGAGTATCATCTTGACAAATGAACATTGCTGACTTCCTTTCACGGAAACCGTGTCGTTCAGCCGGGATCATGCCTAGGACTTTTAAAAACGCGAAGGAACGCTTGAAGAATATGGTTGATACTTTGTGATAGATCTTTCCTGCAATTCCTTCACACAAGCTCGGTTCTCGTTGATCGCGTTTGCCTTGCGGGATAACGGTAAGTAGAATCCTCTGCCACTTGCCCGGTATCCTCCCATAATGCAAAAAAAAACGTTGTAAAGGACACTCTAGCACAAAACTATCACTACTGCCTGACTGAGATGTCCGAGCCAGCCTGATCTGTACCAGCCGCTTTATATGGGCTTAAGCTGCTGAAGCGCTGCTGTCAACTCACCGACCGTGACGTGAGCGGCTATCGCAGCCTCCATCAACCTTACCTACCTGTCCCACACTGCGATGTTCCGTACGGGCTCCCTCGACATGATGTTCCTAGAATTGCCTCTCTGCCGAGAATAAGCAATAAGGATACCTGATTTTATGGAGCAGGGTGGACATCCTAGACACTTATAATGATATACATTCACTATATTCGTAAAACAATGGAGAGAGAACGCATCGTTGTGTAGACTATAGCCAGTTGGCGGGTATCCATCTGAGGCTGGAAAGCGTTTCTGCATGTATCGTGTAACCCTGAGCTATTACGATGAGGTTTGATTTTACCAGTTTTGAGTCTTCGGGTATCCCTAGGAGCGGCACGGTGCGAGTTGACATCGTGTCTGTTTGGAATGAGAATAGTTCACTGACATACATTCGAAGCTTCTCTCTGTCCAGCAACCTTAGTAAAGCTTGAAAATAGCTATGTACATTTTTGGGAGGGACACGCTTAGCCATAAATAGTTCATTTCTAAACGGAGCTCAAACGTGTAACGAGTTTCTTGGTTTGCGGTACGCTTTTTCGGAAACAGCCAGGTTGATCCTGAGCAGGTTGGAGGACGTTATCGCGCCAGTGAGTGTCAGTTTTTTTTTCTACTACGTTGCAGCACCCAGAGTTCGCTGAAGTGTCAATCAATAGCCTCGCTCGATTCTCCCCTGTTTATCTAGTCTTGAATTGAAGTCGCTTGCCGTCAGTGTTGATGATCCGGTAACCAAAGCATTCAAACATCGCGTCAACTTCTACCCTACTATTGGTTTAAGTCTATAGTTTTGTAGAACAACAAGGCTGTCCTTTGATGTAAGTATTGACCATGATATACTGTTACGTCACCGTTGGCCCTTTCTCTGTGTCCTGGTCTACCTGGTGCGTCTACTATGTAGAGACCTGGTGTTTTGAAGGGCGTGTTGAAGGTCGAGGGTGGTAGAAAATCTAGAGCGGACATCCTCACAGTTGTATAGCGTGTGAGCTGGCGTCTCCAAAGCTTCTCTGGGACACTCATTTACCTGGATCGTTGAGCTGATCACAGGACGGCGGGGAGGTAATCAAGTAAAGTTTCTCTCCGCGATTCTTCGCGCTCTTTTGTGTCATCCTGTTGTCATGGTCGCCGAAATCTTAGTTTGCATTTTCAATCAATTTTGCTTAGAACTGCCGGTTCGTTTCCGCTGTGCTTCGAAGCCAGTCGACGGCCTTCAGTGCTGCTTATTGGCGCTCGATAAGATGCCCTTGGGGCGGGGACTTGAGGCGAATGGACAGTACATGCTGATGTTTTCGTTTCTCAGTATTAGCAGTAGTTTTGCGATGGATTTTTCGTCTGAACCACCCTAGCCCTATTTGAACTCTTGTCCGATCAGTATATTATGTTGCTAAGCGTGTAATCCCACCTGTTTCTTATGCAAACACAACAATGCCAGGCCGCGCCTGCTTCGTTGAATGGTCCACTACCATCGTATATCCCGCAATTACTGTCTTCTATTCTACAGCAGCTACTGCACTCTAAACAGATACTGAGTACAAAAACAATGTTTATGATTAGCGTACCTGTGACTTATTCCCATGTCGTTGCTAGCGCCGTCGAGGGGGCTGTAGTTGGTCCGTCTTGTGGCGTCCCTTGGTAAACCATCTTTCGAGTTTGGTAAATTTCAATGCGAACTAGTTAGGCCACTTTTTGAGGCCGGTCCCGGAAGCAGTAGGATTTGATGGAAGGATGATAGTTCAGTAGGAAGTTGCGTTCTTTGATGGCTTTTATTTAAAGATTTTACCTTGTGCAGGGTCATCGCGTGACACATGTCTTGCTACGTAAAACACCTTACGGTAGCTTTCGCTTTATCTACATATGTACTGGATCCTCTAGATGATATCACCGTTTTCCTGTGTATTGTTATAATCTGACATTGGTATATATTTATCAAGCAACACTATCGTCCCCATATATACTAGCCGTTGTGCCTACGAATAAAATATTTTTTTGTTTTTAACTACTGCGAAAATTATTTACTTATATTTACTATTTATTACTAACATACACATTTCGTCACTGAAACTACGTCGAGCTGATACGTTGCTCTAGCTACAACTTTACCAGTATCATGCCATGCTTTCCTAGACACCGGATATAAGTGAAATTACTGTTCATTAGTAAAGTTTTCTAGGAATGTTTTTGAACAGAATCAACATAATGACGGTATCCTTAAATCTTTCTTCAGTATCTTCGTTCTAGGGCTCTGAGTGCAATGAAATGGTCCAGTCTAAAAGGAACCTGAAATTAGGAATATATACATTCGGGTTTACTCAGGCCCCTGTTTACGAATCTTGGCTCTATTTGTCTTCTAACAGCGTATTATATTCGCTGATATTATTAAGTAAATCAAGAAACATTAAATAAAAACAAAGAATTGTGTCAGTGTTGCTATCAATTCCGAATACCTACAATCTTATTGTAAATCAAAGAATAATAAAGAAAAAAGTAAACTTGACAAACAGATCACGCCCGTGAATCATCCCTTATATATTAATTCACGTTGGATAGACATACGAATGTACTGCTCAGTTTATCCTGGGCAGGCTTATAAAAAGGCGCACACTTCTTAACTCCTGGAAATGGGCTCGTACCTTTTGTCGTTTTGTTTGCTACACACTGCACCACCTTTTTTTGGTATGTTGCTTTCGGAGGAAAATTTAACCCTCGAGACTTCTGACGGCTTTTTTTTTATAAGGGACACAGATTCTTTGCCATAATTGGGACTAATGGGCGTGTTAGGTGGACGAAGGTCGTCCGATCCAGTTAAACAGATTATACTCACGATTTTCTAGGATTTTTCATCTTCTCTCTCAGGCTTCATACGCTTCTTCTTTTCTACTTAAGTTCAGGAAATTTTAGGTTGCAGGAGATGCATTTGTTAAGACAATTCTTTGTTATCCTCGCAATGGCAGCCGACGGGGTTACAGCAGAATGGCTTTACGCAGTCAAAACGATCGAATTCACACCTTTAGGGCTGCAAACCTTCGTACCATTCCTTTGGAGAATGCCAATGGTTATGCATATATAGCCACATAAGATCATGAGTGCGGTTTCACTACGGCCTTCCGGACATTTTCTATTAAAGCCTGCCTTCAGTAATCTGCATCTCCGTTACAATCAGGCCCAACGAACCTTACCAGGTCATGTCCGCAGTGATGTTGAGAAGTCCTTAGTCTACGGTCAATTTTTCTAGTGACGAGAGTTTTGTTAGGACATTTACCCGTTTGAATTTCTATAGAGATTAAGAAGCTTGCCAGACTCTGACCATAGCTATAATGCCACTGCATATAAGTCAGTGTTAGAAAGAACTGCGAGTTAATTATTTCCGGTCAGTAGCGGTTACTGTAGGAACAGTCATGCGGAACTCATCGGTGGTTTTCGAAATTGGGTGCATGTACATACAGACCAGAATCGTACATAAGTTTGTTTGTGTTGGACAAACCACAAATGTTTACAGGACGGCTATGCCATTAGCATCGGATTTGCCATTTATGCTCCTAAATATTCTAGCTGAATATTTAAAGATCTGGACAGTTGAATAATTATTCACTTCAGCGGAGACCAATTCGATGATGGCTGCTAACGCTAAACAGGACAAATACCAGGCTATAGCAGAATATTTGGTTCGGCTTTAATTTTTTTTTTGGCAACGACGTCGAGTTGTCCTTCTTGGAAAATACCCGTTTGAGTCCTGCTCTTACTCAGGTTTCGACAAGGTTTTTGGTCCAGCAATCTGTTACGAGCTTGAAATAATTGTCAACATTTATTGTCATTAGAAAGAGAACCATATAAAGTAAATACATGTGTGTGTTAACGAAGCGATCTACTATTAGTTTTCGGCCCTTACATTCTAAACATTATGACGGATTGCTAAAATAGAAAAGGCACAAATTGGTATCTTCTCTCCTTTCCGAGCCTCACGCCGAGATGCACAAGGGTTGTTTTTTTTTTATCAATGCGTACAACATGACATACTCATGATTAAATAGTTAAAAACAAAGCAAAAAAGAGATTGTTTTTGTGGAAACAGGTTATCCTGTCGTATCGACTACCTCATTCGGTACCCATTCCACTAGTAAAAATGACCAATTCCGCAAGGACTGCGACTCATCAAGAAGTGAGCGAATGTCAAATTGGAACAGAGAAGTCATTCTTCTAATCGATTTGTATAGCTACCGAATATCATGGCCAGCAACTGAAACGCTGTCAGGTTTTATAGTTAACTCGTACCTGCCTCTTCTACAACACGCATGTGCCGCTGTGTAGCAATGTCGGAAGCATATGCTGTTTATGCTTCGGGGTTCAATAGAACAGCGTTTAAGAATCCAGCAGAAAATAGACCACCCTGCTTATCGTTCAGATGTTAAGATGCTGTTAGATTCAGGCTCAAATTGACACCATTTCTATGTCCCTCAGGTTAGTGCGAAGACCTGTTACCATCGCACTTCCAAAAAGACATCTAGGAAAAAAGAGAATTTCCTTATAGTCATATTACTTGAATGGTATATTCTGCCATATCATTAGTACTGGTGTTTCTCGAACCCACGTGCCCAAAATCCACTGAGGTACAACCGCTATCTTCAATATGAACCGACATAGGGCAATTACGCAGGCTTGCTATGCTTTCCACGAAGGCAAAGGAAGTTAACTGAAAAGACAAACTGTAGCCCACTATTAATCGAGGAACTGGAGTTGTGTAGATCATCGGATCAGACAAAGAGATAATGATTACCGACAAGTTACAGACTTGTCAAATTAGTTTAGTAATCTAGTTTGATGAACGTAGCAATAGCTCATTTCGAACGTTCCTGAACTAAATATGAGATTTGGCTGGAGAAAAATGCTCCTAAAGCAGCTAAGGTAATATGAAAGCCAAAAAGCTTAATGAGCGACCCAATACATGCTGGGTACAAATGGGACAAAAGTTACAAACTCATTATGCTTTGAGCTTAACTTTTTGCGCTTAGGCAGCCTTCATACAGTATTGACAGGATAGCGTTTTGCGTAACTCTTTTGGTACATGGTGCAATTTGGGAAAAGTATTTATGCCTAAAAAAATAACCATATTCTATAGGTGTATTTCGAAGCCAGTCAAGTTTGTTGCGAACAAGGCAATAACGTCAGCCCTGTTCGATTGATAATATCCTGCAAGAGACTACTATAGGGATGGCTTAGGCGTATAAATTATGAGACGTTTTTTGTAAATAAATTCATTATATTGACAAACTTCGTGCGTGCTCAGTTATTTAGTAGAACTCTTGAACGTTGACGCCGACGGCTTAGCAAGGCCTAGCCTAAAGTGGAGAATAGTCCGAGACGCAGTAAAACGAAGGCAGATTTGTGCGTCTAGTAACATCTATGCAATACGATGGATACGGGCGTTTCAGAGACGCTTTTTTAAAAGATCCGCTACAGATGAAAAAATCTTGACTCTGCTAAATTTAGTTTTAATTAATTTTTAATGGAATTTATCTTAATTTAAATGTTTGTGAATAAACGAAGTTTGACCCACAGCGGGAATCAGTGCCTGCACGTTTAGAATGGTATAATTACTTATTAAATATGCTCAATATTTAGTCATCTGCGTGCTGATCGCAATGCTCATCTCTGAACTTCATTGGCAATGCGCTGCTAACAGGAGCCTCAATTACTGTTATTCCTTTAATAAGCGTATACTACCAACCGCGTATACATATAAAGAGTAGACATAATGAATAAGTAAGGGATATTTACTCGGAGCGCCCCATCAAAAGTTCCTCCTGAACTTCTGCTTTCATTTTAATTTTAGAAAGGAACTATATTTTAACGATGACAATAGTCGCATTTAAGCTTTTTGATACTGAACGAAACATTTTTCCGTTACGCATGTAGGTTCACAACTTATTTTGCTTTGCTATCCCAGTATATACATGCATAGAAATGGGTTTAATGCAACGTTAGAGTGATTTGTGGTAAGTTAATCGCGTGCTAATGTTCGTGCTGAGTGTTCTGTGACATAAAAAAGGTAGGTAACAAGTACATAAGGAAATCAACGATCTGCAAAACTAAGCACGTGTTCGTCTCATTGATTGTTGTCCATGTATGGCTTGTGATGGTCTAACCCCACCACTTCAATGGGACCCTCCGACAATTGAGGCCTTTGCTATTCACTGTTAGACGAATAAGGGGATGATGAAAAGCCTGATGTCAGCAGGCACCTTAGTACCTGTCGTCTATGCTGCCGTCGCCCCTATTTTGTATTATACGACCAGTCATCGCTTGTTGAGACTCGAGGATATTGACCACGCGCAGTAAGCAGTAACGTCCAGTCGATCGGGTTCAAAATGGTCGGTATTTAGCCGAATCGTTAGGTGTCACTTGATGACCCGTAAAGTCGGTCTGAAGAATATCTCTACAACCTAACTTTGATACTCGCGCGTCTTACGCGATTGCCTGATTCGAAGCTTGGTTCCGAACTGCTCCGCGTTAACCGTGTAAATTCGTTTGTATCGGCTTTCAGTACTATTGAATCCTAGAAGAAGAAAGATCTGCACTTGTTTACTGTTTTTTCGCTGGAAGATTTTTAGTTGACATGATGAGATTTGCGTTTGAAATCGCAGTGAGGCGAGGAGTACCTGGTAGAGTTTGCTGAAACTGGTTTGAGCGTTTCAGGACGCCTGCGCGCCCTCGTGGGTGAAGGACGAGTATAGTAACCTTGAAAGATTTGCGCACAGCTAAGCGTTAGCCCCCGCGCAGACTCAAATCACCTGCATGTATTAAGAAACATCTTAAAAACAACGTAGTAGGTAAATAACCCAGATTTACGTAAACCCAGAAAAGTGCTCCTGGATTGAACATGAGCATATTATTGTTCACACGACTGCAAAGGAGTAATTTTAGAATCACATTGGTACCGGGGACGAAAAAGGGGCATTCTACGATGACGTTCAATGCAAGTTATTAAAATTAAACGTAACATAGCAAAGTAAGTTGAAAGCGAATTCGACTCAGCAACTGCGATTCAATATGATTTAAGGTGAGCCTGTCACCATGAAAGCATTTCAGTGCACGCGGATTTGTCGAAGCGAAAAAATTGAATCTACTTCAGACTAAAATCCTTTTGCTTCTGAATCATGGTCCTAACCTCGTCCTATCGAGTCACAACTGTTCAAGCCTATGCAGTGTCGCCTATAGGATAAGTTATTCTAAATATGGGACAGAAGTAAATTCGTGAATGGGTCGCCTCTTACAACGCTTCTTTCTTTTTTTTTTTTATTAGCTGTCTGTCCTTCCAACAGCAGAGAAAGGCCATAGAAACTCGAAACAATAACTTTAGTGGTGGACATCAGCTTCAACTACAAGGTAGCACGATTTGATTAACACTAAAAAAAAAAGTGTTATTTTGGCCGGCCTTATGTTGAGACGGAAAAGGAAAAAAGGGTTTTTCATGCAGGTCCCATAGGGTTAACACAACAGGCATAGAGCACATGTTGCTTAGTGTCTCGCAGTATGGGTCGAGTGCAATGGGGCTACAGAGTTTATGGCTATTTTCTACCATACTAGCGTCGCAATAATAAATCGCAAAAATAAATAGCAAAATTGCTATAGAAAGCTAAATGATAGTCTTTCTTTTAACCTGCAAGAATTTTAAGACCCGGTCAAAAAAACATCGTCCTGCTTCTCGAATCTGTACATTAGGCTTCGCTTTTAGGCTAAGAGAACAATCGGTAAACGATTGGCAATGCGAAAAGACGGCATAGTATCTATTGGTCAAGATTCTGTTCGAAGCTATGCATTTGTCTACTCTTGCTCTGTGCTTCTTATTTTTTTTTGGCTTTTGGCCACTTTTGGTGGTCCAGTCTACTATCTGTACCTTGCAATGATTACAGTTGCAAATGATTTATCCTGAACGTCAATTTCGATATAAACCAAATAGACCGTCAGGCAGATGCACTTAAGTTGCGCATATATAAAGCCCATATATAAAGAGACCCGGCATTCTGTGTATATATAATGTCTACTTTAAAAAAATATTGCCGATCGAGAACCGTAAACAGGCAAGGTGTCAAGCAAGAGGAACCGCTGGTGGAAAGAGACAACTGACGCTAAAAGCCATTAACCCTTGATCCCACTGCGAAATAGTCATATTTATGACAATAGGTTACCGTACAAGATCTAATTAGCCGTGTTACGGGTAAGGATCAGCTGCCGGGAGCGACACGTAAGGTGCGTTACAGGTGCCAAAGCTAGGCCAGCTGCATTGTGCTATCAGTGCTAATCAGTCAGAAATAGTATATAACGTATATCTTTTTTTTAAAATGGATATCACGCGTCTGCACTGAACCAGAAAAGTATGCAATGGTCAAGACGAGCGTTGAAAGGATAACGGATTGGATATTTGGTTCCTCATCATTAAGAACAGCGATAGGTAATATTATGATGAAATGGATAGATTTATTCTTCCTTTATCTTCGAATGAATTTTACTTGTATGACTAGTGAAAGCGGATAAAATATCAACGATCATATATGTCGTATTAAGCTGTTGTTTTAAAAATTATATTTTATACAAAATCAGCTACAAAATTTGTAGTGATGACAATTATCTATTACATCAATAATGGCTGATCTACCTTTGACTGCACGTTATGATGTAAAAATTTGGAAGCGGCATTCTCACAATCACTGTGCAGTTTGTATGCTTGATTTGTTGTCAATGGCAAGACTTTGTGGGCTGATATTTCTGCTGGGATCTCCAGAATCTGTTGATCAACTTTTTGAGGAGCTTGTTGACAGTTTAACCGCCGCTCTTCACAGTTATCTGTGAGAAACCTCACTCTCTTGAGATTTTTTCTGCAGGCCACAGATTGCTAAAGGTCTTAATTATGCGTCGTTGTTTGTTCAGACATAGTACCTGTTGCTATAGGAAACCGCCTCGAGTTTGCCGTAAGCGTCCGCTAAGAAATCTGTTTCTGACAGAGTTCATTGTTTGTTCATTTGACAGAGTTCATTGTCAAAGGCTTTCTAAGCCAATTTTGGTACTTGATAATCTTCCAACACTCGGAAAAATGTACAAGATCAATACGATAGAATTTGGTCCTATAATTTATGTGAATTTTGGCGAAAAATTGGTTTTTACGAGACATTTACGAGTTACTTATGCAGAATCAAATGAAATATTAAGATCATTGAACTTATAAATTTTACCTGTGGACGAACGAAAATAGGACGTTTGAAAACCGTGTTCGGCTCATGATAAAAGTTATTTTTAAATGTCATCAGCCTGTGTCTGTGTTAGAATACAACTAAAAATAAATTGTGGAGTTTTCTATATATTTAAATGCAGCGTACTACAATAGCACTTTTTTTATACTAATTTATTGTTGTTGAATTATCTAAGAATAAGAATTATCTTGAAGGAAAAACTTGCTACGATTCATTACAGATTAAATTAAACCCTGGAACGTTACAAATAACCTCATCTTCAAAGGTGTTCGTTTATATGCGTAACGTACTCGAGTTGTTAACTAAACTTTCGATAAATTTTAAATAATACACATGTGTATATTTTTGTAGGAGGGCAAAATCATTTTCGTATAGCTTTGTAGAAGGAAGTACCGACGGCTCACTGAACGAAGCTTACGCGTATTCATTTGCAGTTGTTAAGCCTATTCATAGCGGACAAAAAGGCGTTGGAAAAAAGGGCCCAGTGGATATTGTGCGAAAGGTTTTGACGAACTGCTTCTGGGAAAAGCTGTGGTACGTAACGTTCGCGTAGCGCATAGCTTTGCACATCGTGCGAATATTACCAGCCCTAACAGGGCTCAAATACATTATTCCACTTTTCTAATAAAAAAAAGAAACAAGAAAACAGCGCATGTCGTGTCCCCTGTTTTCATTTGTGCATTAGCGCACGGATTCGCAGAGGATACGCGTTTATGGTGTGGAAGCAGGAAAAATTCTAGTTAGAGAAACTGGGTTGACAGGACTGCTAACTAGAATCTTCCGTGATGCTATTTATGTTCCAGGTACATGCTCATTGAATTATGCCTACTTTTAATCGAAGTAAGCCGAGTAAATTGAATGAGATGGGTATATATTGCCTATTGGATTATTACTATACCTTCACTTAATAAGAAGCATACAAGTTAAGTGCACTGAAGTGGAAGAAAGAGGTTGCAGCAAACTTTACTTTGAATTGCTAGCTTTAAAGCTCATCATTAATATTAACTAAAAAAAAAACGGCGACAAAAACTGTCCATCGTCATAAAAAGAAACTATTCAATTATAGATGGTTGAAATCTCCTTCTTGTTAAAAATATCACAATGCAGCACGTTTTTGAAGCCCCAATTAATAGAAATGCTAGGACATGGTCGAACCTTTTTTTGTTGACTTTTGTCTCTTTGCCGAGAGATCTGCACTCAACAGAAAATGAAGTACTATTTATATATAAATTCAGTGTCCATGTTTTAGATTATCGATGGATCTGTAACAACCGAGACAATAGGTTTTGGTTTTTCGGGAATTATTTCTAAACATATTTATGCCTTAAGTGCCCCTATAATATATATATATGTGTGTGTACGTTTCGATCAGCAGGAGCTTTTAGCATTGCATAGTCGTGTTATTATGACCACTATAATTTTTTTCACTTGAACATTAACGAAGCGGGCGCAAATCCTCCAACAGAGTTAGCAATCAGGGATACTTTCCAATAGTCAAATCACTTGTGAGCTTACGTCGAGCTTTTAGGGCCGAAATTTAAGGCCATGCATAAATCTGCCTTTATTAGCAATTATGCACCTCCGGACAAATTACTAGCCTACTCAGGTATCCTCGACAATACGTGGTGTCAATAAGTAGAATGGTTTACTTTTCACCATTTCATCCTACAGAGGTTCTCCGGAACGCTTTATTGAGTTGAAAAGTTTTCCAGAACTTGTCTATTGAATGGTATAGCTTCCGTTCTCCGGTGGTTGGATGACCTCTTTCCCCTCTAGCGAATCCCAGCCCCAACTAAATGCTACGCTAAACAAAAGGTTGATAGAGATCCAACTCTGTTTCGTAGAGAAACGTCATCAACTACTACGGTAATTTCGCCTCGATAAAATCACCACTACTCATTGAAGTTCGCAAAGGACATCTGAAGTCTGTGTAGAGGCGATAGAATGGTGGAATATCGAAACGGCCGGCACGGGGGCAAACATTTAAACCAAACATGCGGCGCAAGATCTGCAATAACCGTTACGGAAGCCTCTGAAGCTGTCTCTGACCCTCGGTGGCGCATAATAGCTTTCGAAAGATCTACAGTGCACAAATATACGAAGGCGATCGAAGGGTACCTTTGATCGCTTTCATTATCTCGTCTATTCAACATCCTCGAACTGGCACGTTCATTTGCTTTGATGTGGTGAGCTAACTTTTAATTATATGGATGAGGCCAGGCGGGCGACGACTGTGGATACATAGACAGGTTTAACTTTCTGTCTTAAACTACACAAGGATTTGAAGGTAAGCGCGATACAAAGAGCGACATCTAAAAACAAAAATGTATTACGAACGGTGACGAGGTTAGAACAAAGAGCTGTTGTAGGATAAAATGGAGTAGTGTGCGTATTACTATATGATGGCCGTATGCACAAAAGTCAGAAAAACTCAACGACTGATGAGACAGGATCTAGACTGAAGTTGCTGGAGGATTAGCTGGCACCGCATCAAGAGTCACTGTTCAGTGGACTGATATTACTACATCGTATATTGAATAATATATGATGGACTTAATAGATGGCGCAGAGTTTATCATGAGGTGAGCTCTAATTGTCCTGATTTTTCCTGAAGAGTGCTGGTGTATTGGATGTAAGATCGTAAATAGCATTCACGTCGCCAATTATCTAGGCTAGCAGGTAACTAACGATGCAAATAAGTGTTTTTTCTATAACATGCATTTCGTTTGCGATCAGTAACGGAAGGCAAACGAAATGAGCGCGGATGTAAACCTCGTCACGACGTATATTTAAATCACGTATTATACATAATAGTATTTATTTGAATATTACATACATAACATTATTCCTTTGGATTTAGGTTGTAATGCACTTCAATTTTAGTATAAGGCTATATATAAGCTGTTAGGCTTATAATTTTATATTATAAGCCTAATAGCTGCCGGCACATAAATTTAGGCTACATGCTGTAATTATGATTTCTGCCATTGAGTGCTAATTAAGGTGTTCGCCTTGATGTGATTTTGTGGTGAGAACAAATGCTAACTAACAGGTGAACCGGCCTTGGCTGGTTTCTCAAGCATTAAGCCACCAGCAGAACACATTACCTTCTATCGTATTGTTACTTTTACAACGTGCCGCGTTATTAAGTGTACTCCATCAATTCAAGTACGGTAGAGAGGCCTTTTTGAAGATGCAGAAGAATATATTAACTTTGCATGGAGACGTAAGCTCACTCCGTTAATACCCACTAAACATTCCAATCCCAGCTTAATGAAAGGAGCTTTCTAACTTTTCTAGAGCCCACTCGCTAGAAACTGCATTAGCAACACCTCAGTGTATTCTTATCCATGTAAAGTTCTCCTATCAAATCTGAAATATCTGCCCCAGGGTCTGCCTAATGAGCTTCTTAGATGAGCCACACCGTTTGTTAGATCATTTCTTTTTTAAATCTCAAAGTCTTATAACACATTCTTATGTGTCGCACGCTTGTTCCACTTCTTTTCGGACTATATCATCTGCTTAGTGGTGTTTAGTGCTTAGTTATCTCAGGGCGTCGCCGTCACCCCCTTTAACATTTGGCACCTCTTGATGGCGTGTACCACACCATCTTTTCCCGCATAAAACACAGGTGTCAATCCGTACAATGTATGTTTCTCCATATCTAGACAGAACCCAGGCCCACCCCACGAGTCTGTCATATTACTCCTCAGGTCTGAAATCAGTGCTTTAATTCATTTAGCACGTATATGTCTTTGGTGGTTAAGAATACGGCTAATTTTGTCTCCGCCTCGTTCGTTCAAGGTAGAATTTCCTGTCAGACTAAGGTCCTGTTTTCCGTCCAATGCTCTTTTTGCTTGTTCATCTACCAGAAGGATTCACGGTATCATTTTCACTTTATCGATGTCATTCCCATTGAAGCCGCTGTATAGGCTCTAGTTACCCGGACGGTAATGATTCCTATGGTCGATCTTTGGGTTTTTCTGTTCTCCTTCTTCATTAGAGCTCGCTGTGTCCACACGGCACAGACATAGAGCGTGGTAGATTCTGCTACGTTTGTTAGTACTAACCTGGCGCAACCCCCAGACCCTTTTAGCTTCATAAGAATCCTTTCAAATTTAAGCCTTGTTCGGAGAGTTTCTATTAGCGTATGCAAGATGTGCGCCCAACCCGTAAAAAAATGTGTGCATGCCTACTCCCAGATATATCCCTTTCCTCCCTAACAGGAAAATGGACCCTTTCGACGATGAAGACCATTCCTTTTGTGATTTTTTCCAGTCCGTCAGTAAAGGTGCTCTAATCTGCTATGGCGCTACTTGCAGAAGGCGTACGTCGTCCGTAGTTTTACCTGGTTGAAACCCTTATTCGCTTTATTCTCTAGAATATCTTCATTGCGCTCGGTGATAGCTAGCGGCTAGCTGGTCAGTATGCGTCACAGTCTTCACACTTTCGGACAGTCCCGGCTAAACATTCTGTCGTACCCTAGATTCCACAATGTCGACCGAAGAAACGAACCTCCTGAAGCCTCAGCAGTGATTCTGTAGTGCTACTTTCCGGTTTATAAAGATCTGTCTTCCAAGTATGACGAAAAAATGCATGATAGAATAATCCGTCAGCGTATAAGTGGTCATTTCCGGACACATATTTAGTGAGGCTATAATCTCGCTGGGCGGCAGGACGAATCGTAACCGTACCCCGCACGGGAGGCGTCCCTTAACATCGGGAATTAAGTAGACAGACCATTTTTTCAAATACTCTCGTAGTCAGAATGGCAATCTGATTAAAAGAAATAGGCTGGTCAGACAGGTTATTGGACTGGTTCGCAATTCACGCTTCGCGATAAGAATACGCGTTTTTTTCTATGCTTCTTCAGGAC